TCGTTTTATCTTTTAGATAAAGAATGATAAGTTACCCTTGCTTGCTTAACAAGAATAGAACACACAAATCATAATTCAATATTGCAACAAAGCTCTTAAGTTTGTTGGAATGCACAAACAATTCAAGTTAATGGATTGCTCCCAATGAGTCAGCAATGTGAGCAGAACCAGCCTGCTTTTGTCTGCAATATGCAGAGTCGAGTGGACTTAAAATACAAGACTTGCAGCTCAACTGCATTCAGCTCACTTCAGTCACTGTAAGGCGTTGTGCTTTGATAAGATATTTTGCACAGTCAAGGAGACAAATATTTAACATAATAAATTATAGACCTAACAGAAGTACAGGGTACATGCAAGCTATTTCAAACAATTTCAAGGTTTTTTCTTGCACATGTTTGATGAGCACATCTATTTGGCAATCTGCGCTTCACAAAAATAGACACAAGTACGGTACATTAGAGTTATAATGAAATAAAATTTTAAAATCACAACATAGTGTTTCAATAGTAAAATTACAACAAAGCAAATTTTGTTTCATCCGCATCTATAAAACTATATGCTTCTGCTGTCTTTACACATTTCTCTCCTACTATCACATTTAGCTCTCTAATCAGTTGCATCTCCTCCTACTCTAGGAATGTGCTTTAAAAAATTTATTCATCTTGCATGATGATATCATAATAGAGAGCACTAGACTTCGGCAGTTGTTTAAGATAGAATACGCTTTTAGATATATAATCCCAGTCATATCGCAATAAAAAGAAAAATCAACAAAAAGTGCTTGAGAAAAGGAAGTACATGGAGAGTATAGTTGGTCCAACAAAAAAGAAACTAAATTCCTGCTAAAACGTCATTACTTTTGACTTGCTTCATTTGAAAAAAACACCATGCCTGTCTAGTCAACCTACAAACATTTTGAGAAACAGATACTTTTACTCTGCTTCTTAAGAAGACTTGAAGAGAAATTATCTCACAAGAAATCTCATTTAGCGTCAATTGATACAACTGACCTCATAATAAATCCTAAAAGCAGCAGAGCTGCAGTTTAAAAGACTCATGATGATGAAAGAGTTGTAGGTGCGAGTGTTGTGTCTGCGAAAGTGGTAATGTTGGAATACTGTGTAGCATTGTAACCACTCTCAGGGGCATATACAGCCAATATGCCTTTGATACTGTCATCAGTACCAAAAATTAGAACAATAACACCAAAGATACTGATTAAAATGTTCTTCCATAGACGCCATCTGCCAGGGCCCAAGCCGTCTTCCCAGAATGTAATACATTCAATGAAGCATGGTAAGATAATACCAAGGATTGAGAAGCAAAGTGCACCTATCAGGCCAATGAAGGGGCCAATAGTCGGAACAGCAACCGCCAGAAGAACTGAAATAAAGTTTTAGAGTTAACATTAGATTTTGAATATTATGCAGTAGAGAGAACAAAAGAAATTGTAGAAATGAGTATGAGCATACCTGATGAGACAACAAGAATCACTCGGACAATATACTCAGCCAGAACCGCCTTCTTCTGGTAACGCTCTTTGAGTCCATCCCAGACAATTTCAAGGCACACAAACCACTGAAGGCCATATGTGCAGAACACAGCTAAGGCAATGAAAACTTTGACAACTTGAGCAGGGCTGGTAAGAAATAGAAATTAATTAGCCACATTCAAAAAAATTGTTTGGGAGCAAACAATTGTTTCTTAAACTTACATTTCCGATTCAGGAAGATTGAGAGTAATTACAGCCTTTGTTTCCTCTCCAAAAGCCATGTATCCCAGGAACCCAAGCAAAATATAAATTAATGTGACACCAGCCATTCCTTGGTTCAAAACTCCACCAAGCCCAAGGAAATTTTTGGGTGTCTTCATGTTGTTTTCCAATGGCATTACCTAAAATCATAAAATCATGTGATCACCACTTGTCACTGACCGTCTTGAATAAGAATAATCTCAAATTGATTTAATTCTTTTGAAGACAAACTTACCACTCCAATGGCCTCCATAGCAAAAATAACAATGCATAAAAATGGTGGTATATCAACAGGGGATCCAGAAAGTTTTAGCTCTTCAATTGGCTTCAAATTAATACATAAGTAATACATGGTGATACCCAATCCAATAGCCATAAACCCATTTGCAACCATTGAGACAGGTGCTAAGTATTTTAGATTTGGAACAAATCCCAAGAGAATAAGTGGTATCAGGAGACAAGCAATATAAACTCGCAGCTCAACTTGTTCTGTGTATTGCTCTATGACCTGATAAAATAGAGGAAAATTCAGTTTTAGTGAGACTAAACTAATTGAATTGATAATATAAAGACCAACAATATCATATCAATCAATATTTTGACAATGGAAAAATGCAGCCAGACTACTTACTGCCTTGAAACTTTGTGCAATGATCACAGTGTAAACACTGCACGTGCCAAAATATGTGGCAAACAGACTTCCTAGAATAGTAGCCCTGAAAAGTAGTTTTTAAAAATGAATTAACTGAAAAATAATTTGAGTTAAATATTCAACAAATTGATAAGTTGGTAGATTACCTCACTGCTTTCCCATACTTCCGAACCCATTGAGGTCCCTGTTCACAGGCCTTTTCTCCAATATCAGCAAAGCTCATGGCTGAAGTCCTAGTGCGGTAGTAAAGAGCATGTGCACATTTTACCTGTCAAGTTGATAGGAAATAATATTAATGAAATTATCTATTTTAGAAAATATCATAGTGATAGTGTTTCAATTTAACGTAAGCTTACCAGAATGTATGCACAATGTGTGCAGATGATGGCCACAATGATGGTATACACAATGCCCATGGCCAGGCCAGAATGTTTGAAAGCCAATGGCATGGATAGAATTCCACTTCCCAATGATGCCTTCAGCAGATGTGTTAAGGTATCACAGTTCCTAAGGAAAAAATAAAAAAGTCAATCAAGAACCGATCGTGAAAGTAGATGATCCAAATTAAACATTGGTGTTGTGTTTTAGTTTTCCTCAATATTTACAAATGTTTTGTAGGGTCTAAGAAAAAAAATTAGACCAGCGATCAGGTGCTATCCGTTGTATTCTTACTCGAGTTAAACTTACGTAGTTGGGTGTTCGACATTTCTGGCCTTGAACGGGTCGAAGTCCTTTCCATTGAGGAGATCAGCTGCTTCTGCGTCCATGGTACCGTTCGTAACTTGGTACTTTCCATGGTTGAAACTGCCACCCTTCTTTTCGGACCCATCCTGAGGAACGAAGGTCTGCAGTTCAGTGGCTGGTTGGTCCTGGAAGCAGACAAAAAAACAAAACAAAAATGTAGTGAAGCCGAACCGAGTCGAACAGTCTCTTGGAGGCCGAGTTTCAATAAAAGGGCTGCACAGTCATGTGACCGGCAGGCAGGGAATTCCAATAGGTATACCCTAGCGAGCAATCATCAATCAATATTACATCCAAATGACGTAAAGTGACGTCAAAATGACGTCAAATGACGTCAAAATGATGTCAAACTGATGTAAATTAATTGATCATTGCTCGCTGGGACATTCTACTTCGTTTTGCTTGGCCATCGTTCGCAGGCGAGGTAGAAGGTCCGGCTAACCAGGGGGGTGCCCCGTAGGTTGCGTACTTACAAGGGTTTTGTGGCACATATTGCCTACCTTTCAGGCGGCTGACCCCCTTATACCGCGCCTGCGTTCACTCTGAAAACCTAGGTGTGAGACACTCTTACACCTTTTGGTCTGAGGTATGGTTTGTCCGAAAGGACCGCATGGAAATAAGAGCCGAAATATGTGACTGGCCAAAGTGTCCAAAAAGTATACTTAGAGTGTACAAAAAGTACACAAAAAGTATGCCAAAAGTGCCATTAAAGTGTGGCCGTCCCAATTTTCTATACTTTAAGACTTTAAGTATACTTTATGGGCAATTCCAGGAGAAATGGTAAAAAATGTCCGTCCGTCACGCGTTTTGTGAGCGACTGGAAGGCGCTACGTTGTTTTACAACACATGTTCTGACTCCCCCTCAAGCCTCAAGACGCGTCCAGTCATGTTTTGTACGAAGCAGTAGCACCTCTCAGTCGCTCACAAATCACGTGACGTGCGGACACCCCTTCCTGAAATTGCCCTTCATGCCTTTTCCAAAAAAGCCCTCCATACCTTTTACAAAAGTTCACACATAAAAGTGTCATTTCGATGTACTTATTTCCATACGGAGGTGTCAGACGCACACTGTACCTTCCAAAAAGTGTAGTACACACGTATTTATTGGGGACTGAAAGTATATAATCAGGAAAACCATCAAAGGGCACAGCACTACATTTTTTCTGTCATAAATGATTGGTCGTCACGAATGAAAAAAAAAAAGGACTTTATTAGTAGTTGAATCTCTTGGCTCCGAACATTAAACAACAAAAAATTCTGTTTAGAAATTAGTCGCTCCCTTTATCACTGCCACTTCTGCTTACCACTCCGTTGCCCGCCATGATGACTGACGGTGCGAGTCTGCTGGGGCTACTGGTCCTGCAGGGCTACTCCTGTGTGGTCCCTGAAACACACACAACACGACGCCTTACAATTGAGTTGACACACAAGTCTTGCAGAACCGGGGACCCCGAAGACGGGGGTGAGGTGAGTGTGGGGCCGAGGAGGACGGGGCTGAGGATGGCAACGCGGATGGGGTAGAGAACGGGGGTGGTCGGAGAGAGGGTCTTTCGGTCACAAGCCAGGGGTCGTCCGGGGCTGCTCCTGCATCATGGGATCACTGACGAGACGAGGCTGCTGCGACCAGCTACAAGAGGGAATGCCCATCAAAGTCCCCGGCGGCCGAGGTCCATCTGGCCGGACCGGCCGGACTCTGCGCTGCGAGAGGAGCAGGGGTCCGTCCGGACACGCTCATGAATAAACCAGAGCCAGCAGCACAGCGGGCTGTAGCTCACTCACACAGACGCGCACAGACACACACATTCACACACTCACACACACACACGCACAGACACACACTCTCACACACACACACACACACACACACACACACACGCCTGGGCCACGCACCGGTGCGGCAGCAGAGTATCACTGTTGGCTGGGCCCGAGCCGAGCAGGGAGCGTTACCCTTCAGGGCGTCGCTAGAGCGTCGGGTGTGTCTGGTGCTGAGCGTCGCGACGGCGCGGACCGGAGGAGCCGGTCAGAGCGCGCGGCGAGGGGAGGAGAGACTGCGGCTGTCGGCGGCGCGGCGGCGGCGCGGGGGCCCACAGCAGCCGGCCACCTCTAGGCCCTGCCCCCC